GCGCCATGCCGTCGCCGTCGGCGGCGTCGTGGTCCCCGGCCTCGCTGAAGGGCGTGGCCAGCAGCTGGTCACAGGTGGCGCTGGTGGTGACGAGGGTCAGCCGGTGCTCGGCCATCTGCGCGGCCTGCAACGCGGAGGCGTGTGTATTGAGGTGCGCATGGATGAGGGGGTTGCCGCGACGCCGGGGCTGCTTTGGTCACGGCACGGGGCGTGCTCATGCAGATGTTTGGAGCGGCGTGGAGCCCGACGGGGGGACAATGCGACTCCCTGGCCTGGACCCCGCGCACAAGCATACACAGACACAAGCAGGGATCCGAGGGTGAGGTAGCTGCGCTCATCAGCGCCCGCGGCGCCGGCGGCGCACCGTGATCTTGTCGACGCCTGTGGCCAGCGACGACAGGTGCATCAGCAGGTGAACCAGCGAGCGCTCGTCCGTGGAGACCGGCTGCACCGGCTTGTTTGAATGGATGGTGCGCTGCACAGTCTCGACGGCAGTGGCCTGGAGCGTGGGTTGGGGAGCCCCAGAGTGCACTGTCAGCGCTGGTCTGCCACGTCAGCCAGCACATGCGCCCGTGTGGCGACGTTCGAACGCTGGCAGCACGCTCACCGTAGCGGCACCCGCATTTGCAGAAAGCGATGATGTCACACGCCCAAACGTCTTGGCGTACGCCTCCCGCAAGCCAGGTCTGGCATCGCTGAGAGAAAAGACCGCGCGGCAGGAGAGAGGCGTCCGGCGGAGGCTAGGCCTCAGCGGCGCCGTGATGGTAACTCTAGGCTTCAAGATACGCACTGCCATGATTGACCTTGCTGCCCTTGGTATCTGGCGGCCACAAACAGAGCTTGGGTGAGGCGGACGTGTTCGTTCTAAACTTTCAGGTTCAGCAAGCGCGTCAATAATTGTTTAATATGGTTACTAAAACGGTAAACAGCAAGGCAAACTACGGTACCAAAGCCTAAGCGCAAGTTAGATGTCTAGTGCCACGGTGGCACCCGGCTGAGAGCAGGTCCTGGACAGGCTGGATCCGTAATTGGGAAGGATTGAAAATAGTTACATGCATTAGATACCGAATCGCGTCAAAGTCCTGGGGCAACAGGGACATACCCTACACCCTCGCCCCGCACCCCCCGCTTGTGGCACACGGCCGGCGCCTCAGGCCTTGTAGGCTACACACAACGCCACTTCCTTTGCTGGCGTGGCAATCGATTTGCTTACAGGCCGATCCTCATGGCGAAGGGAACGATGATTCAGGACCTTCATCTGCGAGAGCGCTGGCTCACCCACCCCAAGTACCAGTCGGCTGCTGGCAAAGCCGTGCACAGCGTCGCCCAGCCAATCAAGTGATTGGAGCAACAATGAGCAAACTCTGCAATTTCCAGTGCAATAAATCGATGTCTGCGTCTCATATTGATAATTTCTGCAACTTCTGTCGTAAACTTGCTTTGCTTGGCCAAATCGTCTTGACCAACTCGGCTTGACTGCTGTTGACACCTTAAATTAGTACGTTGAGAAGCACTAGACCATACGGTCAATGGACAAAACAACCGCTTGGCATCATAGCAGCGTCAACGAAAACAGGACAGCAGATGAGAGTAGGGAGTGCTGTAAACATGGTAGACCAGAAAGCACAAACGCAAAGTGGGCACCCCCTCAGATATTCCTGGCCCTCGGGACTCTCCCAAGTAGCAGTGCCGCAGCTTCAGACGCCAGCAGCAGCGGAAGCGTGTGCCCCCCGGCTGCGACCCCGCCCCCTGCTGGCAACCTGCGCTAGGAAGGGCATGAGTTTCGAGGATACTAACGCTCAGGCCCTGCGCCGCCGCTGCGCCGCCGCTGCGCCGCCGCTGCGCCGCCGCTGCGCCGGAGACGGCAGCATCAACGGAGGTTGGGTCCAGGGTCAAGTGGGTGCGGTGGGCGAGTGGAGCAAGCCGCACAGGTAGAAGATGTCTCCCTCGATGTGGACAAGACAGTCTCAAAAATGCATATGAATAATAGCCCTAGCAAAACCAAGACATCAGGAACAACAGGTCTTGTTTGGTCCTTGGTTGACAGTGCCAGAGTAGGCCCCGCCCGCAAATGGCGTCAGCCACACATGGGCACGGCATTGGCCGATGGCAGGGCTGCGCCAGCCGAGTCCCACCGGAAGTGGAGACCTTGTCAAGCTTGTGCGCAATCGTCATGCAACAATGTCGTTCAAAGCACACCAGCAAACCATGGAGACATGCGCATGTGTTTGGTGCTGACGGTTAATGACATCACAGCAACGCCGAGTGCTCCACCTGCCGCGTTGGCCAGGTCTCGACATTCAGACGAACCAAACAGGTCACATGTGAGGCGCGGGCACATGTTTGCAGTGCTCCCTTCCGCCCTACAGCATGCCCCTAGATCCGTCCAACTTTGCACTGCTCCTGCCCTTGTCGCCTTGCGCCACACGGACGCAGCACTGCAGCAGAGGAGGGCACGCTGGCGCATTCCCTGTGAAGATGAAAATTGAGTAACATGCATGTAGCTACATTATGTGTTCTCTTGCAGGCGCCCGATTATTCGAGAGGCACTGCCTCCGAGAGAAACCGTTCCCGCGAGACCCTCAATGAAGAAGCACTGGCTAAATAGCTTTTGTTGCGGGTGGATGAATCGAGACTTTTATCGAAGCGTCAGGCAGTGGCCAAAGCCGGCCTTGCTAGCTGTCCACAGCCAGAGATGCTGCCGGGGCGTGGCACAACCGGCCTTGCTCGCGGCGATGCAAAGGTGAGCATCCGTATGTGCGTCATGCCAGCTCCGCTGCGTGCTGGCCGCGGCTCAATCTCCCGTTGCCCCTGATCTCCAGGTCTCAAATGGCCTAGCCGGAGGGGCTCGCTTGCTTCTGCCAAACGGTGAGCGGAGTGACGCATAAATAAAGTTGATTGGGCCAATGTGGGGTCTCTGTCGCATTGAACGCGATCCATCACACCGTCCCCTCACCCGCGCCTCGTTGCACCACGCAGCGGCGCCACGCGCGCTCGGTCGAAGGCCCGCACCGTCCCTCGTCGCCAGCGCTGTCGATGGTGAGGCTGCATCAGATGCCTGCCTATCGCAATGCGTCGCGATTGTATCTGGGGCGATCAAAAAGATGCAAAAGCAGGCCTGCAAACCCGTCTGGAGGTTGGGCAGCGACTGTGCCATGACACACACGTCCCGCCCGCGCCTTACACACCACCGCACACGCGCGCGCATACGCGTGCGCGCAGAGGCCGTCGCAGATGCGCTCGCCGATGCGGCCCCCCTCGCGTTGCCGCTGCTCGACCTGCCGGGCCCGCCGGCCGCGCAATCGGCCCCTGCCGACGCCGCCCCCTCTGAGGGCGTGGGCGACCTGGTATCTGGCGCGCTAGATCAGGTGTCAGACGCCGCCACGCAGCTGACAGAGAAGGCCGCTGACCTGGCGGACGCCGCCGGCGAGGTGGCCGCGCAGGCAGCGAGCGGCGCGGCCGCGGCGGCGGAGGGCGTGGTGAGCTCGCTGGCTGGCCTGGCCGACGGATTCAAGGACGCGGTGGGCGGCGCGCTGGGCGACAGCTTGGGTGACAGTGTTGGCGGCCTGGCCGACGGACTGAAGGGCGCGGTGGGTGGCCTGGGTGACAGCTTGGGCGACAGCGTGGGCGGTCTCGCTGACGGATTCAAGGGCGCAGTGGGAGGCCTGGGTGACAGCGACAGCGCCGGCGGCACGGCGGGCGGCGTGGGCGGCGCGCTGGGCGGTGCGGCGGACAGCGTGGGCGACGCGCTGGGCGACTCGCTGGGCGGAGCGGTAGACGACGTGGGCGGCGCGCTAGGCGGCGCAGCAGACAGCGTGGGCGGTGCGCTGGGCGGCGCGCTGGGCGGTGTGGGTGGCGCGTTGGGCGGCGCAGCGGACAGCGTGGGTGGCGCGCTGGGCGGCGTGGGCGGCGCGCTGGGCGGCGCCGCTGGCACCGTCAAAGGTGCTGTGGGCGGCGTAGCGGACGGTGTCTCAGGCGCCCTGGGCGGCGTGGGCAGCAGCGTCTCGAGCGCGCTGGGCGGCGCGGCGGCCGGCGCGGCGGCCGGCGCGTCGGGCGCGCTGTCTGTGGCCAAGGGGCAGCTGGAGGGGGTGACGAGCACTGTCCAGGCCGGCCTGGGGGACGCGACAGCGGTCGCGGCAGGCGCGCTGGGCCAGGCGACCGACGCGGTGAGCGGCGCCGTGGGCGCGGTGGCAGACACTGTGGGCGGCGCCGCCAACAGCGCCGCCGCCGCCGTCCAGGGGGCGACCGGCGCGGCGACGGCGCAGGTCGCGGCGCTCGCGGGGCAGGTCACCTCGGCCGTCGACGCGGCGGCCGCCCAAGCCCTCGGCGCGCTGCCCGAGCCCGCGCGCGACGCACTGCTCGCCGTCGGCGGCGCGGCGGCGGCAGGCGCGGCCGTGGTCGCGGAGCACCCCCGGGCGGCCGCGGTCGCCGCGACGGCGGTGGGGGTGCAGGCGGCGGTGTCGTGGTACCAGGCGCGCTACGCGGGGTACGCGGGCGAGGCGTCGCCGGAGCAGCTGGCTGCGCTGCTGCAGGAGGGGGACGCGCTGCTGGTGGACATCCGCAGCCCCGCGCAGCGCGAAGCGGAGGGCGTGCCGGAGCTGAAGCTCGGGGCGCGCTTTAAGGTGGTGGCCTTCCCCGTGGAGGTGGGCGGCGCGGGAGACCTTTTGGGAGGGCGGGGGGTTTTGGGTGGCGCGGGTGGGCGGCTGCGTGTCCTTACAGGGTAGATTTGTTGCAAGGTATTTGGGCAAAGGCACGTGGCTGCGCAGTGAGGGCGGGCTCTTGTGGATCTCACGCCAGGCAGCCCGAGGCCGTCTGCTTGAGAAGGGCGACGAGCACTCCCCTGGAAGCGTCCTTCTGCCAGCCTCAAAACCGCACTCCGACTGGCCATCTAAAATGCTGCCCCCCGCCACGCACCCACACACGCACACACACAAAATCCACACAACACACGCACGCACGCACGCACGCACACACACACACACCCCACCCTTGCCCCACCAGGATGACGTGGTGCCGTCGCGCGTGGCCAAGCTGGTGGGCAACGTGCCGGAGCTCAAGCTGCTGACCAGCGCGGCGCTCATCGCCGGCCTCAAGCAGGTGCGGGGGCGCGGCAAACCCTTTGTTGAGACCCCGGGCCAGCGCCCGGCCCACCCACATGGGGGGGCCGCGTGCACCATCCTGGGCGCTCTGGGCCCCTTCCGCGGACGCTAGTCAGGCTGTCCTCGTGCTGACCCTTACGATCCACTACACAGAAAGCCATGTACATGGCTTTCTGTGTAGTGCCCGTTCAATGACTCACCCCCACCCTCACCGCCACCACTGACCCTACCCCCACCCCGACCCCCCCCTCAACCCCCAGGTCAAGGGCCCCATGACGCGCGTGGTGGTCATGGACCGCGACGGCGGCGAGCCCGCCCGCGCCCTCGCGCGCGCCCTCACGTCCCTCAACCAGCCGCTCTCCTACGTCCTCTCCGGCGGCTACCGCGGCTGGCGCGACGCGGCGGGCCTGCCCGTGGTCGAGGCGGCCGACTACAGCGCCGACGCGGGCGCGCTGATCTCCGACAACGTTGAGGTGGTGGTGGCCCGGGCCCAGGAGCTGTCCAAGCCGCAGACCGCGGTCCCGCTGGTCGGCGGGCTGGTGCTGGCCGTGGTGGCGGCGGTCAACTACCACAAGACCCTCGAGTACCTGGGCGTGCTGGGCGTGCTGCTGACGGCAACCAACAAGGCGCTCAGCTACAGCAGCCCGCAGGTGGGCGGTGCTGGGGGTCGGCGCGCGCCCGGCCGGGCGCGCGCTGCGCCTCGGTTGGGATTGCGGCCCCTGCTGAGCGCACCCCCCTTTCACCCCCTCCTGGTGCACTGCGCATTCGCCGTTATGGCATGGGTGCGAGCGCTTGTCTGTGCGTGCACACGCGTGCACGCACACATGAACGCACGCATGTATACGTCCACTCATGTCACCCTCCCATGCACATGCACACACGCGCACGCAACACACTCTCACGCAACCACACACACATACCCACTGAGCAGGAGGCACTGGATGACATCAACAATGTGTTTGGCAAGCTGGGCGGCCTGGCCGACAAGGCAGGCCAGGTCCTGCCCAAGAAGCCCAGCCGGCCCATCCCTGCCATCCAGCTGTCACTGGATGACGCGGTGAGCCGCGCGCCATGGGCACAGTGCAGGGTTTGGGTTCGAGCCGTATCCGCCGGCCACGTGGCCGTTCGCTGTATAAACACAGACATTGCCGTTGATGGACCGATTCACTTGGCTGAGGCCGTCTCAGCGCACATTGGACAGGAGCTCGCACCTGCGGTGGACCCTTGATTGATGACGCAACACATCCCTGCCCTCGCCGTCACCACACTTCCTGCGCAGGTCATTCCACCGTCACCGCCGGTGTCTCGGCCACAGGTCCGCCCCGCGGGCGAGGGCGGCGCCAAGGAGCGGCCGCAGGGCCGCCCCGGGGGCGAGGGCGGCATCAAGGAGGGCGCAATCTCAGACGTCTTGGCGGCGGAGGGGGAGGGCAACTCTTGAGCGTGGGGGTTGCTTCTGCCCGCTCCTTGATGATGAGTCCGGCTCCCTGCGACACAGGTCCTGCAGGGACAGGGCTTGGTCTCAGCTGGGAGTGCTGCGGCCTTGGCCTCGCCCCCTTGGCGCCGTTACCATGTTTTCGCTTTCGGCGCACCAAGATTGTACGAGAAGAGAGAGTTTTGCTGTGTCTGTTGGCATTTGTGATGACCGGCGCAGTCTGTGTGGCGTCGCATAGCCCCAGCACTTGGCGTAGTGAGAGCACTGCAATGACGAGCTGGCGTCAGCAAGGGGGCAGCAGCCGCCAAAGTGGCTCACCCCACGGCTGCGCTGGGATGCATGGGGGTTCAGGCAGGCTGTGCATACTGCCACCAACCTGCTTTTTGCGGCGTGCACACGGACATACCCGACTTTCTCGCGCGCGTACGACAACCCGCCTGGGTGCGCTGCGCCGCTGACCGCACATGTTTTTTGAAGAGGGGAGAGGCGTGTTTTTTGTGAGGGGCGTGCTGACACAATCACTCCCTCGAGTAAGAATCTTGATGGCAAAACCTTGGTGGCAAGGAACACACTGAGAGACACGCAAACACAGGGGCATGAAATTACAGGATCAAATACGGCCCTCCTAAAAGAGATACGCCATTATCAAAAATGAAAGGCTGAGACTGCGTCCAGGTGCAGGGGAGCAAGCAGCCAGCTTCACACAGAGCATAATTTCTCTATTGCACCACAGCACTCCTGTTGTCCTGTCAACAACTCAAGCAACCAAAACCGCCTGCACAACAGATCAACCCCCGCCTCGCCTGCCGCCGCTGCCGCCGCTGCCGCCGCTGCGCCGCCTCGCGCTGCTGCCGTTGCTGGCTCGGCCGCCGGCCGGCCGGCCGATCGCGCCCATGTTGGCACTGGTGCCGGCCTCGCTGCCAAGCTCCTCCGGCTCCAGCTCCTCGCGCAGCTGCTCCAGGCGCTTGGACACGCTGACGCGCAGCGCAGCCTGAGGGGGGCGGGGTAGAGGTGGGTGTCGCGGCAGGATGGGGGGGGGTGGGGGCATCAACATGAGGGCTGGATTGAGAGATTGTGATGACCGGGGCTGCATCGAAAGCAGGTGCATCTGCCTGGAGCGGCTTCGCCACAACACACAGCCCGGTTACCTCTGCTCACACTTGGGTCAGTGCTCCCGTTCCGCAC